AAGGTGAGAGTGGGGGGTGGGGGGGGGGCGGAATTTCTCTTCCATTTGTATTTTTTTAGAAAGTCATGCCTAAATTATAATAAATTTATATATTTCACCTTATATCATTAAAAATATTATCAGCAAAAGTATCAAGTTCTTACTATGTGTCCTAAGCAAGTTTAGATGTCTATATCGTTTACTTGATGTAATCTTCAAACCAATTATAAAATCTTGCCCATGTATCTTCGAATGTAGTTTCTAGTTTTCCTTTCAGAAGTAAAGTTAGTTTGTCCATTTCCGCAGTTTAGGGCAGGAGGGACCTCAGTGGGGTATAATGTCATAAAGACCACCCCCAGGGGTCATTTCGTAGAAAAAGAGCTAGGGGAACTCATTAGCATAACTCATTAGCATATGCCACACCCCCTGACATCAGGGGCCCGGCGGTGGACCTGCAAGGCCAGCGGGAGTGCGAGGAAGCCCCGCAAAGGCCCTCCCTGGCCCCAGGCAGGCAGGGGTGGGGAGAGGCGGGGAGGAAGCAACTTACCCTCCCTCTTCTCCTGCCTCCTCCTGGCTGAATGAGGGCCGGAAGCGGGGTGGCCGGAAGAACATAAGAACATAAGAGATGCCAATGTTGGATCAGGCCAAAGGCCCATCCAGTCCAACACTCTGTATCTCACAGTGGCCAGAAATACCAGTGCCATCAGGAGGTCCACCAGTGGGGCCAGGACATTAGAAGCCCTCCCACTGTTGACCCCCCCCAAGCACCAAGATGACAGAGCATCACTTGCCCCAGAGTCCCTATCTATACCTTGTGGCTAATAGCCACTGATGGACCTCTGCTCCATATGCTTATCTAATTCCCTTTTGAAGCCGTCCATGCTTGTAGCTGCCACCACTTCCTGTGGCAGTGAATTCCAAGTGTTAATCACTCTTTGGGTGAAGAAGTACTTCCTTTTATCCGTTCTAACCCGACCGCTCAGCAATTTCATGGAGTGCCCACGGGTTCTTGTATTGTGAGAAAGGGAGAAAAGTACCTCTTTCTCTACCTGCTCTTTCCCATGCATAATCTTATAAACCTCAATCATGTCACCCCTCAGTCGTCGTTTCTCCAAGCTAAAGAGCCCTAAGCGCCTTAACCGTTCCTCATAGGGAAAGTGTTCCAACCCTTTTATCATTCGAGTTGCTCTTTTCTGCACTTTTTCCAAAGCTATAATATCCTTTTTAAGGTGTGGTGACCAGAATTGCACACAGTATTCCAGATGAGGTCGCACCATTGATTTATATAGCGGCATTATGATATTGGCTGATCTGTTTACAATACCCTTCCTAATAATCCCCAGCATAGCATTGGCCTTCTTTATTGCAGTCACACACTGTCTCGACATTTTCAGTGAGTTATCTACTACAACTCCAAGATCTCTCTCTTGATCTGTCTCTGCCAGTTCAGACCCCATCAACGTGTATTTATAGTTAGGATTTTTGGCTCCAATGTGCATCACCTTGCACTTGGCCACATTGAACCCCATTTGCCATGTTGACGCCCACTCGCCCAACTTTGACAGATCCCTTTGGAGTGCCTCACAATCCTCACTGGTTTTCACCACCCTGAACAACTTCGTATCATCCGCAAATTTAGCCACTTCACTGCTTACTCCCAACTCCAAATCATTAATGAACAAGTTAAAAAGCAGTGGACCAAGTACTGATCCCTGTGGTACCCCACTGCTTACACCCCTCCACTGGGAGAACTGCCCATTTATACTCACTCTCTGTTTTCTATTAATTAGCCAGTTTTTGATCCATAAAAGGACTTGTCCTTTTATCCCATGATTTTTGAGCTTGCTTAGGAGCCTTTGATGAGGAACTTTATCAAAAGCTTTCTGGAAGTCAAGGTAAACAATATCTATTGGATCCCCCTTGTCCACATGTTTGTTCACCCCCTCAAAGAACATTAACAGGTTAGTGAGACAGCTGCGTCAGACCGTGCTTTGGGTTTTACGTCAAGGGGCCTAATTTCTCGACTTCTTGTTTCACATAGGTTGCGACCCTTGATTTCGACACAGCTAGCAAAAAAGGCCGCAACCGAAGAGGTACGGTATTTGGTCTTTCCTGTATCTGAAAATGGATATGAGGTTGCCCTGACCCAGATAGCCCCGGCAAGCCCGATCTCGTCAGATCTCGGAAGCTAAGCAAGGCCGACGCTGGCAAGTATTTGGATGGGAGACCTCCAAAGAATACCAGGGCCAGGAGGCAGAGGCAGGCTATCGAGCCACGTCTCTAAACGTCCTCCATGCGCCCGCAGGAGTTGCTAGAGGTCACCATGACTTCCAGGCATGGGCACACACACACAAATGCAAAAATACCAAAAAAAGAGAAAAAAGAAAATGGATATGAGATTTATCACATGGCCTCCCGCCAGGAGAAAAAGATTGACTTTTGTTAAGTACGGCACAAAGGCTCTTGGTCTTACCTAAGTTTCTGAAAACGTCTGTTGGTTGGAGACCCTCCATCCCAATGTGAGCTGGAGAGCCCCTGAGACCCATGAAAGATGATGAGAATTGTATTTTCTGTATTCTAGATGGGCAATATCTGGTCTCTATACAGCGGGCACACAGTATGATTCCTTTTACAGCAGGGTTCTCCAGTGTGGTACCCGTGGGTGGTGGGCGCCATGCCACGACACCTTTTCTGGTGCCCACCAAGTGTTTTTAGGAATTGGGTAGGGCCAAGTGGGGCTTTTGCCCAGCAAGGCTGCTGATTGGCTACTGGATATTTGATTGGCTGTGCAGATTTTTAAAATGTTGCTTTGGCAGCAGCTGTCAAAAATCTAGGGGCTGACTCTGCCTGCCGTAGCAGCCATTTTGTGTCGGCCTTTTGTTGCCGTGCCGACCATGCCGTGTCAGAATTCCAAATGTGCCCTCAGGTTCAAAAAGGTTGGGGACTCGTCGTGTTTCAGGGGGTTTAGCAGATGATTAGACTGTTAGCTGCCTTTTGGCCTGGGAATAAGTGTTCCCGGCGGCCAAGTTTTTACCTTCTCCTACCATTTTTAGCTTGGCTTCTTGCTTAAAGTTTGAAGCTGGTCGCTCCATCTACACTGGCTCTCAGGGCCCAATTCAAGGGGCTGGTGTTGTCTTTTAAAGCTCTACGTGGCTTGCAGCCAGAGTGCCTGAAGTACCACCTACTCCCATTTGAACCTCCAACACCACATCTCAAAGCAATCGACTGTCCCTGAATGGGGTGGAAATGAGGTTGCCAATCTCCAGGTGGTGGCTGGAGATCTTCCACTATTACAACTAATCACCAGGTGACAGAGATCTGTTCCCCTGGAGAAAATGGGTGCTTTGGTGAGTGGACTCTATGGCCTTATACCCTGCTGAGTTCCCTCCCCTCCCCAAACCCCGCCCCCTTCAGGCTCCACCCCCAAAATCTCCAGGCATTTCCCAACCCGGAGCTGGCATCCTTACGTGGAAAGGCGGCATAGGAATGTTTTTAATAAGTAAAATTTTTAAAATAAGCTGCATTTTGCCATGTTTCAGCCTTTATTGTGCAGCCTGACTTACAGGGGCCCTCTGGGACTTTGACCTCCTTGGGCCCGAGTACGTCACTCCAAGGTTGCTGGTCCCTCCTAGCTGTATGGCTCTTAATTACGTACGATTCTGAACGTGTCTCCTGCCAAAAATATCTTCTGAATGAGAAAGAACTCTTCTCCCACTTGTTCTATTCATGATAATTGCCGCCTGGATCCATAGAACAAGCAGATGTGTATCAATCTTAGAACGCACACTGCTAATTTGCCAAATATGTGCCATTCATATTTTTTTCAGGGCAAACGCGCGCACGATCGTGCGGCGTCTGGCACCGTTTTGAAAAAGTTCCCTAGTTAGCATGATCGACGGCTGCCTATCTCTGCGGAGTTGTTCAGGCTAAGCGACATGAGCGGACGCACCCCCTTTCATCTTAGGGATTTAAAAGCCAAGCTTGTCGTTCAGGTAGTCAGGCGGAAACTGATTTGGGCAAGTTCCGCTAAAAGAAGTCTTTGAGAGCTTCGTAGGAAAATGATTAGAAACTCTTGATCTCCCCCCCCCCAAAAAAAAAACCCAGCTAGCACTTGTGCCGGGGGAAATACATCTCCCCCCCCCACACACACACATACGCACGTTTCATGCTTCCCTCATTAGAAAAATCTGCACACTTTGAGAACCGAGGCAGTTTGGAAACGGACATGATAATTAGACGGAGGTCACCCTCTAATTAGGGTTGTGCAATTTTAAAAATAATGGTTCGATTGTAGCTCCTTAAAATTCAGCCGTTTTTCTATGAAAACATCCGAGGCGAAGGAGAACTCCTGGCATAACAATGACTATAAATTGGGATGCCGTTTCGACCGATACTGTGATGTCTCTTTCTTCTGATAACCTAAATCCCCCAAAGTAGTGTATCGGGAGAGCTTGAGTAGTGTGATAACTCTTGGAAGGTGACAGGAGGCGTGAAATGAAAGGGAAAGCCTCCTATCCTCTTAACCTGTTAGGATTTCCCGGAGGCCGCTCATGATACTTTTGTGGCTTACCTGCAGACAAGGTGGGAGGCTGGGAGCAGAGCAGCCTTGTCTTCTGGCTTTTTGCACAAGCTTTCCATTACTTTTAGGGAACAATTTAGGGGTCAGCCCTAAAGTGCCGGGGACGCAGGATGAAATCTTCCCTCCTTCCCCTGTCTCAATATTTTTTAAGTTTGGTGGAGGGCAGGTAAATGAAAACTCCACGTGCGCATACGGATGTTGCCTACAGATGCTATGTGGCTGTCTCATAGGTATGGAATATTTGTATGGGTATTGTACATATGTGTTATGCATGTATGCATTAGATGCTTATTGCATGCATTGCACGTGTATGTTACGTGCTTATTGCATGTGTGTATTATATGCTTAGGAGCTGCGGTGGCTCAAGTGGTTAAGACGCTGAACTGCAGGCTGTGGAAGGTCGGTAGTTCAGCAGTTCGAGACCCGAGTGTGCCGCATGACGGAGTGAGCTCCCGTCTCTAGTTCCAGCTCCTGCCAACCTAGCAGTTCGAAAGCAAGACATTGCAAGTAGATAAATAGGTACCACTTCAGTGGGAAGGTAACAGCGTTCCGTGCGCCTTGGTGTTTAGTCATGCCGGCCACATGACCATGGAAACGTCTTCGGACAGCGCTGGCTCTTCGGCTTTGAAACGGAGATGAGCACCGCAACCCTAGAGTCGGACTCGACTGGCTTTCGAGCAAGGGAACCTTTACCTTTATTATATGCTCAGCTGTTCCACTGGGATCTGTACTGCATTTGTTTTTCCAAATGCCGTTTCGTGGAATCTTTTACTTTATTATCCGTAAGCCTTTGAAAACCCTGACCTGGATAGCCCAGGCTAACCAGATCTTATCAGATCTCGGAAGCTAAACAGGGTTGAACCTGGCTAGTATTTGGATGGGAGACCTCCAAGGAAGTCCAGGGTCGTGACGTGGAGATAGGCAATGGCAAGCCACACCTCTGTTCCTCTCTCGCCTTGAAAACCCTACGGGGTCGCCATAAGACAACTGTGACGACGGCAATAAAAGCCTTGAAAATGGAGGCAAACTCTGTGAGTGAAATAGAAGGGATGAATGACACGTATTCCACCATCCAATAGCATGTTACTTGCCCATCACATATCTAATGCCAGTTTTGTGTCATGATTAGGAGCGCGGACTGTAATCTGGGAGAGCCAGGTTTGATTCCCCACTCCTCTACATGCAGCTGCTAGTGTGACCTTGGGTCAGTCACAAGTTCTCTCAGAGCTGTTCTCTCACGAGCAGTTCTCGAGAGAGCTCTCTCAGCCCCGCCTACCTCACAAGGTGTCTGTTGTGGGGAGGGGAAGGGAAAGGAGATGGTAAGCCGCTCTGAGACTCCTTCGGGTAGTGACGGGCGGGGTATAAATCCAATCCCTCACAGAGACCAAACATTTCTGCAAACTTGGATGGACCCCAATAGGGTTACCAGTTCTGGGTTGGGAAATTCCTGGTGATTTTGCAGGTGGAGCCTGGGGAGGGGAGAGATCTCGTGCTCTGGAGTCCGCCCTCCAAAGCAGCCATTTTCTCTCATGGGAAACTGATCTTGGTCACCTGGAGATCAACTGTAATAGTGGGAGCTCTCCGGGGGCCACCTGGAGGTTGGCAAACCTAGACCACAAGGTTTGCAGGAGAAGACTTAATTGGGAGGGAGGATGAAATAAAACACACAATAGTTTAAAAAGTGCCAAGGTTTTATGAGGCTACCTGGCAAGAAACACGCCTGCCAGTTTGGAGTTCCTTGCGTGGCTCCAGATAGCATAACTGACAGGGTTACCCGATGTCCTCTTTTTAGAGGACACATCCTCTTTTCTTTTTCGTTTTTTTGTGTCTTGTCCTCTTTTTGGCTCTATTTAAAAAAAACTGACAAGAATGTCCCCTTTTTGGGTTGCAGGTTAGGAATGTTCCTAGTTAGTAGCAGTTATCACAGCTTAAATAGTAGGGGTACATAAAATGAGATTCGTCACAGTGATCACTTGATTGAAGTAGTCAGTCAGGAAACATGTCCTGTTTTGGATTTTTCAAAATATGGTGTGACCCTGGTAATTGAGGTAACCTGAAATGGCCGCCAAGGCTTTGTGGGGTAATGTTCCAAGATTTCATAACTTCGGGTCAGTCACACGTTCTTTCAGAGAGGCAAACTCTGTGAGTGAAATAGAAGGAATGAATGACACATATTCCACACTTGTTAACCATGCAATAGCGTGTTACTTGCCCATCATGTGTCTAATGCCAGTTTTGTGTCGTGGTTAGGAGCGTGGACTGTAATCTGGGAGAGCCGGGTTTGATTCCCCACTCCTCCGCATTCAGCTGCTGGTGTGACCTTGGGTCAGTCACAAGTTCTCTCAGAGCTGTTCTCTCATGAGCAGTTCTCGAAAGAGCTCTCTCAGCCCCGCCTGCCTCACAGGGAAGGGTGTCTGTTGTGGGGAGGGGAAGGGGAAGGAGTTTGTCAGCCGCTCTGAGACTCCCTTGGGTGGTGAAGGGTGGGGGTATAAATCCAATCTCCTCTTCTTCTTAAACAATGTTGTGTTTTTGTTAATCCCTCTGGAGGAGAGGGGGGGTAGCAGGAACTTGGGGGTAGGAGAAGGCATGTGGAGACAGAAGAGAGGCTGCGGGGCTGTGAAGGGTGGGAGAGGAAGACCCAGGGAGGGGACAAGAGAGGCAAATGGCAAGAGAAGATGGAGCGGGGGGGGGGGGGGGAGGGGCAACAAAAGGAAAGAAGAAGAAGAAGAAGAAGAAGAAGAAGAAGAAGAAGAAGAAGAAGAAGAAGAAGAGATTGGATTTATACCCTGCCCTTCGGAGTCTCAGAGCGGCTTACAAACTCCTTTTCCCTTCCCCTCCCCACAACAGACACCCTGTGAGGTGGGTGGGGCTGAGAGAACTCTGACACAAACTGCTCTTTTTCAAGGACAGTTGTGCCAGAGCTTGTGACTGACCCAAGGTCCCATCCGCAGGTGCAAGTGGAGGAGTGGGGAATCAAACCCGGTTCTCCCAGATTAGAGTCCGCACACTTAACCACTACACCAAACTGAGGGCTGGAGCAAGCAGGCAAGCAGGGAAGAGTGGAGGGTATGGTTGCCAGGTCCGTCCATCCCCCAGCCACTGGTGGTGGATGGGGGGTGTAGGGTTGCCAGATCCAGCTTGGGAAGCTCCTGGAGATTTGGGGGTGGAGCCTGGGGTGGACAGGGACCTCAGTGGGGCACGATGCCACAGAGTCCACCCTCCAAAGCACCCGTTTCCTCCAGGGGTGGTGATCTCTGTAGTCTGGAGACGAGCTGTGATTCTGGTCCCACCTGGAGGCTGGCATCCCTGGCAGGGGTGTGTGGGCAGAGTGGCCGTCAGCTAGGAGGGGAAGCGGAGAAAGCTCAGGGGAGGGGGACCTGGGAGGGTGTGGGATTTCTCCTCCTTTGGGAGTGCTCAAGCATCCTCCGCTTGTTAACTCAGCAGTCAGTGGCGTAGGGGATGAAATGGGAATATCCATGGGGGAGTTGACTTGAGAGACCTGCATTCTGCCACCAGTGCAGAGAAAGTTCTGGCTGTTGCGGCCTGAGAACGGGTTTTGGGAAGGAGTGGATTTTGAGGACTATGGATGTGATGATTGATTGGGAGGGAAAGACTAAAGGGGGGGGGGAGAGGACGTGGATTGTCACAATTTCCAGAAGTTTTCTCTCCCTACTGAGGAGAGAGTTGGAAATGCGGTGAGTGGAAGGTGGAAGGGGAAGAAATGGTGATCGAGAGGGGACTGGGATTGTGATAATGGTGAGGGTTGTCTCCGTAGCAGTGAGAGAAGAGCTTTGGATAGAAAGATCCCCCCCCGTCTCTCCCCCCCCCTGCTTTATTTGGTCGGTTTGACAGCAGTTCTGGAATGGAAATGAAAAACCCACCTGGATGTGTGCGTGCAACCTCTTGTGAAATTCACAGGCTTGCCTTTGAAACACTATTATTATGCAAAACAATAACTATTCCCTATCCACTTATTGCAGACCTGTAATAATACGTCTGTGCCTTTCTAATGAAATATGGGTATTGAACGCGCCTCGTTCGCTAGGCATAGGATGTTGCCGTCTCTGCCAGAGTGCGAGTTGTGTAGTTACTCCACAGTTGACTTAGAGATGGGGTTCCCAGCACTTCGACAAATGCCTGGAAATTTGGGACAATGCCTGGGGAGGACAAATTCAAGGAGGTGGGGTGATTTCATTTTGGGTGATGCCTTTGCTAGTGTCTATGGTCTTTACCATAGAGACTGGGGAGATTCCTAGAGTGTCACTGTGTGGAAGCCATTTTTTTCTCCCACTTCTCAATTCCTCAGGGATGGAAAATTGGGGCAGGTAATTCCCCTCCCCCAGTGGGTAAATGGAAGGTTACTTAGTGATGGTGGGCCTGCAACTGTTACTTAGCTTCTCCCTGGGAGAATGATTTGTCCACCTATGCAATATTCATAGGCTTGCCAGGCCTCCTGCTATTGTAAAGCCACAAGTTACATAGGGTAGCTGTAGGACTTGCCAGAAACTCTGTGGTCTCACCATAGAGTTTCTGACAACTCCTAGAGCTACTCTTTGTCACTTCTGGTTTTTAACTGGAAGTGACATAGCGACATGGAGAGAATGAACCAAAGCAAGAGGTGCTGATTACCCCTTTACCAAATGCTGCAGAACTGTAAAACAGAATGCATGAGGCTGCCTTAGGCTGCTGGTCAACCAAACCGAGTTTGGTCTATTCCAGCCCGGAGTGGTTCACCATGGTCATTTCCATCCCTGTTACCTTGGAGCCTTTTGTAGCAGGCAGCAGTATTTGGGCCCGACGCCATTTGCATGCAAAGCACACGCCATCTACCACGGAATTATGGGTCCTTCTCCTAATGAAGCCATTTGTTGCAAAATTGCCTAATGAGTTATTGACGCACTAATTTCTAATTGCAGCTAAATATTATCTAACCCACTAGGGGGGTCTTGCGCATCGTTTAGTTTCCTTTTGTGTCCACATGAAGGTGATAACTTAGGCCGCATCGAATAGGGTTTTGATTTTAAGCCCGGCCCACTGTAAGGAAACACTGTGAAGTTCCCACAAATGCCTTTGCCAACATGCCTCCAGTTTAAAATAACACTTCCTTTCCTTTCTGTACATTAATGCCAGCACATCTTTGAATCATATCATCATTCAGTATCTGGCCACGCGCTGAGATTCCTGAGCCTCAACAGGAGAAAGTGAAGGTCCCATAAAATGGCTGCGGCAGGGTTGCCGATTCCCACTCGGGAAATACCTGGAGATTTGGGGGGGGCGGAGCCTATAAAGGGGACAATAATGCCATAGAGCCCGCCCTCCAGCTTGGGAAACTCCTCAGTCATGTCACCCGTCAGCTGTAGCTTGGAGAAACGACGGCTGAGGGATGACATGACCGAGGTTTACAAGATTATGCATGGGATAGAGCAGGTAGAGAAAGAGGTACTTTTCTCCCTTTCTCACAATACAAGAACTCTGGTGGGCACTCCATGAAATTGCTGAGCAGTCGGGTTAGAACAGATAAAAGGAAGTACTTCTCCACCCAAAGAGTGACTAACACATGGAATTCACTGCCACAGGAGGCCGTGGCAGCTACAAGCATGGACGGCTTCAAGAGGGAATTGGATAACCACATGGAGCAGAGGTCCATTGGTGGCTATTAGCCACAAGGTCTAGATAGGGACTCTCGGTCGGGGGCAGGTGATGCTCTGTATACTTGGTGCTTGGGGGGGGGGGACAGCAGTGAGAGGGCTTCTAGTGTCCTGGCCCCACTGGTGGACCTCCTGATGGCACCTGGCATTTTTGGCCACTGTGTGACACAGAGTGTTGGACTGGATGGGCCTTTGGCCTGATCCAACATTTGGCTTCTCTTATGTTCTCTTATGTTCTCCAAAGCTGCCGTTTGCTCCAGGGGGGCCGATCTCTTGTCATTTGGAGAAAGGGATGCTGGCCTCCAGGTGGGACCTGGGGATCCTCCAGAAATTGCAGCTCATCTCCAGACTACAGAGCTCAGTCCCCCCCCAGAGGAAACGGGAGGTGGACTCTGTGGCATCGTACCCCCGCTGAGGTCCCTGTCCTCCTCAGGCTCCACCCCCAAATCTCCAGGAGTTTCCCAACCTGGATCTGGCAACCCCACCCCGGTTCTCTGCTGGTGGCCAAGAGGGCCTGGCAGTAGCAATACCCCCTCTAAGCTGTGGAGCCTTGGGAGCAAAAATTCGACTTTGTGAGCTACTGGCATTAAAGTTGTGATTGGGCGATTTGGTTACTGCATAAATGAGTTTGCTCTGGAGCCCTCCTTCTCGAGCTAAGACAAAAATGTGTGAGCTGGAGGCTAAAAAACTGTGAGCTGGCCCACGCTGAATCAACTTAGAGGGAACACTGCCCGGCAGTCCTATCTGGAGATCAGTTATCATGCCAGGGGATCTTCAGCCCAGGCCTGGAGGTTGGCAAGCCTAAGCTGTGAGCTTCTGGGCTTGCTCCTGAGAACTTTGCGTGGGCAAGGGCGACTGTTTTAACAGGGAAACAGTGAGTGGCAAGAAACGCTGCTAACGTCCTTTCTCCTTTCTTCTCCTCAACAGGCGATCTTTCCAAAGACGCAGGCGGAGGCCGGGCCAGAGGTCGAAAAGACTGCAGGCGTCCTGGTAGAGACTGGGCCCGTCTCTTACAACCACGAGGAGGAAGTTGAAGAAGAGGATGTTGAAGAAGAGGAGGACCATTGTGTGAGCGCCCTTCAGTTAATGGGAGGAAATGGTAGGCCTCGACTCTGTGCCTGTTGAAAAACAAGGCACAAAATGTATTTCCTCTGCAATTTCCTCTGTATTTCCTACTCCAAGGTCTCAGGCAGAGGTCTACTCACATCACCTACTGCCTTGGTCCTTAGCTGGCGATGCCGGGGATTGAACCTGGGACCTTCGGCATGTAAAGCAGAGGCTCTGCCGCTGAGCCACAGCCTCTCCCAGCATTCTGAATTCAAACTGGCAAGTGGAGTCCTGCTCTGAAATCCAGACACTCCTACCAATTCGTGGCGATTTCACTAGTTTGTCAGCTACTAGCCAACGTTTTATGCAAGAGTCCCCGTTTTCTAATTAAAACTTGGGGGCGTATTTCCCGAATAAGGCAGCAAGTTGTGCATTTTCCACCTTTGTCCCATTGGGGGATTTCCACACCAGAAGGTATACATTAGCTCATTTCGGCCCTTGAAAAGGGCTGGGGGAGGGTTGCCACCTTCCTGGTGGCACCTGGAGATGTTCCACTATTTATTTATTTATTTATTTATTTTATTAGACTTCTATCCCGCCCTCCCCGCATGGCAGGCTCAGGGCGGGTTACATCAAATTTGATAAAAATACAATATACACAATTAACACAATTAAAACGCTAGTAAAATACCACAATGGCCTTCATCTGGTGCCATCATTGACATTAAAACCTCACAGATGGCAGCTCTGGTATGCCGTTCTGACCTGCAAAGGGGAGGCCCAGTAAAGAGGGAGGGATGTCTGTCGCCCCAGTTAAAAGCCTGGCGGAAGAGCTCCGTCTTGCAGGCCCTGCAGAACTGTAAAAGGTCCTGCAGGGCCCTGATCTCATATGGGAGCTCATTCCACCAGGTAGGGTGGCAAGACGAGGCGAGACGGATGGACATTGATCTCCAGGTGACCAATATCATACCAATATTGGGATTTGGGAATATCATGAAATACGGATATTTTTCGGGTTCAGTATACCCAAACCCAAAAAATACGGATTTTTTTTGCACACCCCTAGTATGGACTGATGTCTATGCCCTCGGGACTTGCCAGTTGGTTGCTTTGGGTCATGGGAGCTGGAGTCCTGGCCTTCTACACCATTCCCAAAGTGGCCTTCTTTGGAATGGAGTTGTTGACCTAGGATTTAAGCCATCACTTTGCATTTAATGGAAGCCGGTGCAGTAGAGCAGTTACGGTTCTGGGCTTGGAAAATCAGGGTAGAACACTAGCTCGCAGGGCTCGCTGGGTGACTTTGGTCCACTCGCTCTCTCTGCTCAGCCTACATCGCAGGGTTGTTGTGGGTATAAAACAGGAGGAGAGAGGAACCACATATGTCATCCTAAGCTCCTTGGAGGATAGGTGGGATGAAAACGTGACGGGGTAGGTTCAGTGAGCGAGCAGAGGACTGGTTTTATGAGATGCACATTGCAAATGCTTGCAAGATTTTTCTTACTGAGAGCACATTTGCAGTGGTGGCAGCCATCCTATAAATAGGATGCGGAACGGAGAGCAGACTCCAGGGTTTGTTGCGCAGCGTTGGTACAGTATCGTCAAAGTTTCTCATATTCGGCATAAATATGTACAGTTGACACGGAACCCACTAATTGCAAGATCTCACTGAGTCTCAGGGAGAAGGCGGGTGCCGGAGTGTTGATTATTTACTCCGTAAGCGTCTCTCGACACCCTTAATTTGGCGGCGGATGTTGATTTTCAACTTTTGTGCGAGGTCTATAGAATAATCATAACAGACCAGTTTGATTTGAGTGGAAGGCAATCACTCAAACCGTAGGGAACTCTTTTCCCGACGGCATATATGATTAGAGCCGCATTCCCAGCAAAACCGCTCCCGTAGAGGGCGTGTCTGTCGGTGCCGAAGGGAACACATAGCCGTGGCGGCAGTGATGATGATGATAATAATAATAATAATGGCAGAAACTGCACAAAACTAGTTAAAGGCCATTAACTCCTTCTCCCCCCCCCCCCCCCCTCAAAGTGTTACTATTTTTAAACCATTCCAATGATGAAATTCGCCGCTCTTTCTTCACTAGGCGGACGCATGTATATTAGGGGGAAACGAACTGAGGAATGTTTCTGCTATTTGGTAGAGAGCAGCACTGACGAAGCGAGAAGGGTTTGCGAGTTACGTCCTAGGCAACTCGCCTGTATCCATAGGAGGTGTTGGGGAGTCTGAGTGAGTGGTGCAGGGCTCTTTTTGTAGCAGGAACTCCTTTGCCTATTAGGCGACACGCCCCTAATGTAGCCAATCCTCCAAGAGCTTACAGAGCTCTTCTGACAGGGGCTACTGTAAGCTCTTGGCGGATTGGCCGCATAAGGGGTGTGTCGCCTAATATGCAAAGGAGTCCCTGCTACAAAAAGAGCCTGAGTGAGTGGTGTAATGGTTAGAGCATCAGACCAGGATCTGGGAGACCCAAGTTCTAGGCCCCATTCTGCCATGGAAGGTTGTTGGGTGACACCACCACCACCACCCTCAGCCCAATCTACCTCATCAGGCTGTTGAGAGCACAGATTGTGGAAAGCGGGCCCAAGTATGCTGCTCTGAGGTTCTTCACGGAAGGATGAGGCAAAATTGTACTAGATCAGGGCACAGTGTTCCCTCTAAGCTGGGTTAGTGTGAGCTAGCTCACAGTTTTTTAGCATCTGGCTCACACATTTTTGCCTTGGCTCCGGGAGGACGGCTCCAGAGCAAACTAATCGATGCAGCAGTCAAATCGCTCACTCACCACTTTAATGTCGGTAGCTCACAAAGTAGGATTTTTGCTCACAAGACTCCACAGCTTAGGGGGAGCATTGGGAGGGGTCCTCCACGTGGTGCCCATTGGTGCCACGGCACCCACTGACACTTTTCCTGGTGCCTGCCAAGTGTTTTTAGAAACTGGGCGGGCCTTTGTCCAGCAAGGCTTCTGACTGGCCATTGGACATTCAATTTGCTGTGCAGATTTTTTTAAAAAAATTTGGTTTGGCAGCAGCCACCACAGCTCAAAGATCTTCACTGTGTGAGTGGAAGGTAGGCTGGGGCAGCCATTTTGTGGCTGGCTCCACCTCAAAGATCTGCACTGGGTGAGTGGAAGGTAGGCTGGGGCAGCCATTTTGTGGCTGGCTCCACCTCCTCTGGCAGCCATTTTGTGACAGCCACTTTGTGGCTACGCCCCACCATGCTGCCTCAGAATTCCAAAGTTGCCTGTAAGGTTAAAAACGTAGTAAATGAAACTTGTGGTGAAATTTGAATCTGAAGCCAGGTGGGCAGTTTTCAGTCTTTAAGCTTTAAAGTTTTCCAGTGAATCAATTTAGGGTTGTTGTTTTTTTTAGCCAGCTGAGAGTTTGCAGCATGAACTGTTTTATATTTCAAGGTGGGTAGCCGTGTCAGTCTGTCTGCAGCCGTAGAAAAGAGCAGGAGTCCAGTAGCATCTTCAAGACCAACAAAATTCGTGGCAGGGTAGGAGCTTTCGTGAGTCACTGCTCACTTCCGAGATGGGTCGCCGTGTTAGTCTGTCTGTAGCAGCAGAAAAGAGCAAAGAGTCCAGTAGCATTTTAAAGACTAACAAAATTTGTGGCAGAGTAAGAGCTTTCCTGAGTCGCTGCTCACTTCTTCCTATGCCGCTAGAATGAGAGTCCATCTGTCCTTATATCTTGGACAGTGGAGTGAATTCAGATGGACTCACATTCTAGTGGTATCTGAAGAAGCGAGCAGTGACTCACGAAAGCTCCTACCCTGCCACAAATGTTGTTAGTCTTTAAGATGCTACCGGACACTTGGCTCTTTTCTCCTGCTACAGACTTGGAAGTGAGCCGTGACTCATGAAAGCTCCTACCCTGCCACGAATTTTGTTAGTCTTTAAGGGGCTACTGGACTCCTGCTCTTTTCTCCTGTTTTACACTTGGCTTTTTGCCTGATATGAGCATGCATCCAAAAAAAAAAAAAAATTCAGTGTTGTAACCCTTTAGAATTTGGTAGGTTCGAGTCCAGTAGCACCCGAGAGAACCAGCATGAGTTATTTCATAGATTAGATAACTGGAACAATCCAGCACCCGAAATCTGCACAGCCAGAAAAGCCGACATGTATCATTGTGTTCCTTTCTTTAGCTGAGTGGCTGTGGCTCAGAGCTAGAGCACTTGCTTTGCGTGCAGAAGGTCCCAGGTTCAATCCCCACCATCTCCAGTTAAAAGGACCAGGGAGGAGGTGACGTCTGGGACCCCGAAGAGATGCTGTCTGTCCGAGTAAACGAAACGGAGTGAGATGGACCCATGGTGGGACTCAGCTTAAGGCAGCGATGTTCATTCATGTGTTTCTCCTTAAGCATGGCTTGGGAAAGGATTCTGCATCATTGCAAGAGGAAGTGGAAGAGGCGTGGCCAAGAGGGAGGAGCCTCCACAAGTCCTGAGATTCTAAAGTGGGTGGAGCAAACAGGGGAAGGGGGGAGCAGCCCAGATCACCCAGACTAGCCTGAACTGGTCAGAGCTTGAAAGCTAAGCAGGGTCAGCCGTGGTTAGTGTTTGGATGGGAGACCCCCAAGAAAGACAGGGGCTGCGCTGCAGAGACAGGCAGTGGCTGAACATCCCTTGGAACCCCCACGAGGGGTTGCTGTCAGCCGGTTGTGACTTGACGGCACTTAATTATTCTTAATTTAGAAGCCCAGCTAGCTTGTTCCTCTCTGATAATGTGCCACTTGATTGCCTTAATGTGTTCGACGTACCTAGGAAATCTCATTGGTTTGCATTTTGCGGAAACCAGCTCTCCCACTGCGTTTTAAAGAGCACCTTTGGACCACGTTTCTCTGTGCTTCATCGGAGGCTCATCTCTTCCCTTCCCCCTTCGTGCATTATCCAAAATAGAGGGGGGGAACTAGTGTCACAGAGGTCCCAACCTGCGTCCCCCCCCGAAATGACCTCTGAATATATGGAAGCACACTTGCAGTATTTGTGTCATCATAGCAGCTAAGATCTGACAAGATCGGGCTAGCCTGGGCCATCCAGTTCAGGGCCCACAGCTGGTACACGGGGTCATGTGGAGAAAGATAGTCCTTCAGATATGTGTGTCTTAGGCTGTGAATGGCTTTAAAAGGCTATATCCAGCACCTTGATCTCAGCAAACACACACACACGGCAGCCAATGCAGCTGTTTTAATATAAGCAAGATATGTTAGAACATAAGAGAAGCCATAATGGGTCAGGCCAATGGCCCATCCTCAGTGGCCAAAATCCAGCTGCCATCAGGAGGTCCACCAGTGGGGCCAGAACTCCAGAAGCCCTCCCACTGTTGCCCCCCAAAGCACCAAGAATACAGAGCATCACTGCCCCAGACAGAGTGCTCCATCTAGACCTTGTGGCTAATAGCCACTGATGGGCCTCTGCTCCATGTGTTGTGTTTTTTTAGTCCCCTCTTGAAGCTGTCTATACTTGTAGCTACCACCACTTCCTGCGGCAGTGAATCCCACTTGCTAATTGTTCTTTGTTCTCACTGGCTAGCTCTTGAGAATAATTGAACTTCTGCAGGCTGGTTCCATTGCAGTTTCTGGGCTCAAGGGCAGCCTCATGCAGAGCATGGGATGACAGCCCCACCATGGCATCACAAAAATGTGGCCAAGATGGCTGGGTTTAAGAAAGAGAAGTTGATGGACCAAATGCGGGTGCTGGAAAGCTCTCTTAGATACCTCACCGACCTTCTTCTCAAACAGGCAGCAGCATATCATATATGAGTTCCATGGCTGAGAGGGACCCGCTGGTCAATGCTGATCAAACGCTGTGCTTCTTTGTTGTTTTAGTACAGCTTCCAAAAATAGTCTGCATCCCTGGCATGGTTCATCCCATCCATTCTTCTCACGGAAAAGCACTGCATTTCGAACAGCAAATGAAGGTGGCCCTGGTGATTCTCAGGACTCTCGGGCCCAGGAACGGAGTCCTCCTTCAACTCTCCCCTCCTCTTCCTCCAGTTCCATGTACTCTCTCACTTTCCATCCTCTTTTTCTCCATCTTTCCTTCTTTCCAGCCTCCTCCCCCATCTGACTCTGTTCCTTTTTTATACCAAGCTTGTAATTCTTTGCCTGGTTCCAGGCCCTCCCGTGTTACTTCTAACTTCTCTGCTGTCTTGCCTTGTCTTGGCTGTAGTCATATGAGGTTAGCTAATGGCAGCTGCTGATGGCAGCCCTGCTGTAACCTCAGAACTTGACCGGGCTCCATCAGGGGAATGCTGACACCAGCAAACTTTTCTGGGCAACCACAATTATTTCCACCTTGTCTTAGGGATACGTACCATTCCACCTTTACATTGCCCGCTGGCCCACTGAGGGCTAGTGGGAAGATTTTTTTTTAAGTGATGGCACAACATCACTTCTAGAGAATAACTGGAAGTGATGGGAAATGGTTTTACCATAGAGTTTTGTCCAAACTCTAGAGCATCACCTCAACAAATACCAGAAGTGCTATTGAGCTAGTGGGGAGGCATCATTTGTTTCCATTCCAGTGTCCTCCATTCTCCCCAGTTTTGTGTAGTGGTTAAGAGTCTCTAATCTGGGAGAATCGGAATTAAGACTCTAATCTGGGAGAACCAAATTTGATTCCCCACTTGTCCACATGCAGCTGCTGGTGTGACTTTGGGTCAGTCACAAGCTCACTCAGAGCTGTTCTCTCAGGAGCAGTCCTTGAAAGAGCTCTCTCAGTCCCACCTACCTCACAGGGTATTTGTTGTGGGGAGGGGAAGGGAAAGGAGATTGTAAACCACTCTGAGACTCTGAGTGAAGGGCAAGGTATAAATCCAATGTCCTCTCCTCCCACCATTGGCTGGCAACCCTACTCTGTCTAGCATCTGCTTCAGCTTATTCTGCCTTAACCGTTCTGGCCACTGCTCCAGATACCATCAGAATCTTCTCATTAATTCCTCCCCTCTTGTAAACCTCTTGTGTGAGAGAAAGCATCAGGAGACCTAGGGTTGGCAGCCTCCAAATTCTGCTAGGAGAAACACCAGCAGAAATTGCCAAAATATAAACTGAATTTAACAAATAAAAAGTTGGTGGTGTCACAACAACAAAATTAAGTCCATGCTATAACTCTAATAGGAGCTGCGGTGGCTCAAGTGGTTAAGACGCTGAACTGCAGGCTTCTAATATCCTGGCCCCACTGGTGGACCTCCTGATGGCTCCTGGTATTTTTGGCCACTGTGTGATACAGAGTATTGGACTAGATGGGCCTTTGGCCTGATCCAACATTGGCGTCTCTTATGTTCTTATGTTCTAAACCCTGTCCTCTCCAGACTCAACCCCCCCCCTCCAAATCTCCAGGACTTTCCCAACCTTGAACTAGCAACCCTAGGCCTCTGGAACTACAGAAATAATTTTAGAGATTCTCCTTGTTAAACCAGATTTTTAAAAAAGCAAACTCTAGATCTTACAGGCCCTGCGGAACTGTAAAGTGTAGGGCATACGATAACTCTAATAAGGCACAAGATGCAATGTTTCCTCCTTAGAAGATAAGACGTAAAGTCCGTGTAATCAGTTTGCCGGCTGTGTAGTGTAAAGAGCGAAGCATAGGTTCTCCTGAAGAAGTCGAAGGAAACACATCTTTTAAGTATCTAGAACGGGCGTCTTTGCAAAGGCTGTTTGGAAAATGTTATGACTATGTGGACTCCTCCTGTCAAGTTCCACTGGTTACATGGACTTTATGTTTTATCTTAGGTAGGGAGGGTGGGGGACAAATCTGAAGGAATAAATAAATAAATGTTGTTGTCGTGACCCTTCATGTATTAGTCAGGACAAAATCAATCTCTGTGTTGGATTGGGGAGCCTAGAATGGACCAGACGGCTGGCGACGCTCCTAATCCCTTCTCTCCCCGCTTGTAATTACAGATTACGGCTGTGACGTGGAGGAAGAGGATGGGTACTAACCCTTTCTGCCTCCTGAACGACGGACAGATCGGTGGAAGGAGCCCCCTCCGGGAATGCCAGCGAACCCTCCGGGCTTCTAAGCGGACGTTCTTTAACTATGAGATGGATTCTGGATCCATCGCCTAGCCCTGGGAATCCGGGTTTAGAATACTTGAAATACTTTGAGACCGTGCACCGAGGATGGGATGAGCCAGGGCATCAGTCCCACAGGAGAAGAGCCGCACGGTCGGCACAGTGTGGCACGGGTGGGCAGCCCTGGCACACGGCGCTTTAAAAACACAGCTGAAGAAGAGGGGCAAAGTCTGCAGCTCTCTCTCCGGGCAGGAAAGTGCTTCCCAAGGATATTCCACCACAGCGGGCCTGACCCTGCCACCGTGTTCTGTGTTTCTCTCCTGTAAACTACTCTCAAAACAAAATCAGGGATGTTTCGTAGTATGGCAAGGCAGTTCCCCTTAGAAAGGGGGGTTCCCAAACTGAGCGCGTTTTTTCCATTCTTCCAGTTCCATGTGAGGATTAGAGCTCCGGCCTGGTATAGGACAGCAGTGGAATGTTGTAATAGCAGGATTGTTTCTTTTGTAAGATCAGGTGCTCTAGGAGAGCAGACACACACACCCACACCCCGGGGAGGGGCACAGCAGCATTGGCCGAGGGTGCAGGGAGTCCATAAGACCAACTGCAAGAGAGCGAAGCGAGACCCTTTTCTTCACTCCCTTTTTGACAGATATCAGGTTAGGAGGGGTCAACGTGGCCTCCCTCTGCTGCCTACTGTAGATCATCTCATAAATTCCTGCGTCCCCCCAAAGGAGATTGCTTGCTGGCGGTCGTACTTGACTTTCTTGGACTTCGGGATCATCTTCAGTATTATTATTTTATAGGACGTAAGGTGGAATTTTATTTTATTTTTTGCGTTTTTTTTTAAAAATTGGCTGGTTGTAATTTAATATTATTTAATTGGATTGCTTTGGGTGGAGCGGGGGGCTCAGCCGTGCGGCAACTTGAATGAGCTCAGCTACAGATAGCTCTGCTGTAGGGAACCCAGCAAAGGTTAAAAACAGACCAATAGTCCCCCAGTCCAACTTGGCAAGACAGACCTTTCCCTGTTCCCACTTTGTAGTGCAGAACATTAAGTATAATGGTCTATAACTCCTTTGACTTGATCGGCACCACATGATTTTTAATTTTTATTTATATTTATTTAATCAGCACCACATTTTTATTTTTATTTATTTATTTTGCTGGTGGGTGCAAAGCATCCTAGTGTCGCCGGGTACTGCGGAAGGGTTGTGGGGAGGGGGGCAGAGTCCCAGGAGAAGAATTAAAAAGAAAAATAAAGCCTTGTCTACCTGCAGGAAGTTTTGACCATAGAGTTCCTGGTGATTCCTAGAGTTACCTGGAAGTGCCACGCCTGGGTAGCTCTAGGAATCACCAGGAACTCTGTGACCAGAATTTCCTGCAAGTAGACAAGGCCTTAGTTTTCTTTTTAATTTTGCTCCCCAGGACAATCACCCCTCCCCCCTTTGACCTCCGTTTCCTCCCGCCGTAAGTGAGCAAATGGAAACCCTAAGCCCACCCTCATGAGGAGAAATTGATTCCCTGCTCCCTCCCAGGATTCTTTGTGTTGGTCTTGTCTCTGACAAACTCAAGCTGGCTCTTTCCGTGCCATCCATGAAGGGCTCTGGTTTGACAAGTGTTCCTTTTCCTCTTCTTCCGTTGAGGGTGTGAGGCAGCAGGTGGGGCTTCCCTGAAGCCTGAGCCCTACTTCTCACTGAGGCGGTAAGTCCTGTGCTGGACCGTTTCAGAATGCAGATGGGGGCTCTCATGAACGGGGCCTTATCCATACAAAGGAGTAGAAAACCACATAAGAAACTAGCTTGTCAGGCTGGAGGGTAAGCTAGAACCGTTATCCTTGAAGCTTTCGCTTGCCGCGCAGGGGGAATCTTTTCTACTGAGGAGTGTTGAATCACATGACTGTCACCGAGTAAATGACCATCACAGATCTTCTACCTCAATGAGATCTAGGCCAAACAGTCATTGAGAGAGTCTAGAAGAAGAAAACTCTATGGTAAAACTCTCTGGTATGGCAAACTCTGTGGTAAAACTGGGCTTAAACCGTAGAGTTTTGCCCCAAAACCAGAGTGTTGCCACACAACATCATCCTAGCGGGGACTTCACGTTGGGGTCATAGCTGTTGGGGGCAGGGCTTCCTTTGCAGACCTCATTACAGATGGGAAGAGGAATGTGACTCGTGCCTCAGGCTTGCGCTTGTGTCTAATTATGACGTCTGAGTCTATAAAATTAGGGTTCTTTTCCTCCACCCGTGTGGCTCCCGTCACATTGGCAGAGACTGGTAGGGCAACCGAATGAGGTGTGCAATGAACATGGAATCAAGCAGAAACCAAGGGGGGGGGGAACACTGAACCTAACAGTGAACTCCAAAACCAAGCAAAGGTTAGTGAAAAGGAGGGCCAATATTAAAACCTTTCCATAAAAGATAAAAAGAGGTACATGTATTTATTAATAATAATAACAAATTTTAAAACACATATAGAGGCCCATTTACAACCAACGTATATAAAATATAACAATACCGAGGGCTTGCAAAGTTGACCTTACGCGTTTCGGCCAAATAGGCCTTCCTCAGAGGTCATACATATGTGGCAAGATGGTTAACAATTATTTTCACATAAACACAATCAGAAATATATACAAAGTATAGATTCAATGAGGACCATAAAGTAAATTGTTCAAAAGTAAAATCACCAGGCACAAGGTAAATGTGCACATAAGACCTTTAAAGTGC